GTTTGCCTTGTAGTGCGTTCACGAAATTTGGCGGCTGGGATTAATCCGAACAATTCCTCAGAACACTCCCCGTGATAGATGCGATAAAATACGCAAAGAGATGCAACATCTCTTCGCAGCGCCAGTGAATCGAGCTGATCGGAAAGCACTCGGTCGTCGACGATTCTAGCCGCTCTGCGCTGGATGCGGTCAAGTGGAAGGAGCTGGTACTGGGGAGCCCCAGCCCAGAGATGGGAACAATATTCCATGAGCGGCCGAACCTTATATTTATTATTTATTATTAGTTTTAAAGATTAACTGACTTTCTGTTTTGTTATTTTTCAGTTACCCGGCTTTTATAGATCGAATTTAGTCTACTATCCTTACAATATTCACTTATCCTTACAATATATGAAAATTGCATGCATAAATTTATTAAGTAATTTAAAAGTACAAACAATTAGATAATCGCTGATAAACGGTTAACGGTATAAAATATTAAGAAAGAAAAGAAAAATAGGAAGGTGTAAATAAATATTTAACGAAAAATCACATTTCATTCGCGTTTCGGTAAAACTACGTTAGCCAAACATAATAAATTATCAATACAAAATAGTAGTGTCACGTAACCGACTCGCGCTCGACTCCTGCAGCCATGTTCTAGGTAATTTACATACACAACAATTTTGTTTATTGCCCATACTATAAATCCATCGCTGCTTTTAGCTGTTGTACTCGTAGACATGAACTAGTTTAAAAGAATCAATGGATATTAAAATGTGAAAACAATTACATTTTCGTAGAAAATCGTAGTACAAGATGTGAATAATTTTACTTAAGTATATTTCATTAAAAACAACATTATTTAAAAAAGCACTAAGTACTTATTTATGAAATGTTATCCCTTTATTTGAAAATTTACAAGTTGTGAAAGAATTTCCGCAGTTGGGTATGCAAAAGCTGCAAAGCACCATTTTTACGTCTCTACGTCCGAAACAACACTGGTGACTGAAACAAACGCTCCTCGCGCACTTGTGGCCTACGACGAGTCACATGTGCGGCGACAAGGTGGCGCGCTTTTACGACTTGAATTGCCTTATTTAGATTTCTGTGATTAGGAGGCATTCTGTGTAGTGAGTGTCGAAAATTAGTATGCATTGTATGTTGCGTGTAGGCATTAGTAGTAGTGAGTGTAGATAACTGAAGATCCTTTTTATAAAAAGGATTTCCGTTCTCTACACTCACCATATGAAATACAGCAGCATTATTCTCCTGTTTCACACTGGTATTCTGAGAAAGTGTGGTCCTACTCCAGTTAAACAGACCCATTTGTACTGCAGCCATAATTCATCTACAGCATGGCTTTGGCATGTTAAAAACGTTTCTATGCTCATTTTTTATAGAATAAGAGTAACAAATCAGCACACAGTTCACCTGATGGTAAGTGAATACTGTGGCCCATAGACAACTACATTTATCCTTAATTAAGAATTCAAATGCAGATGCGTTGTCACCCCTGAGGGCTGAGATGGGATGCGTCATTTCTAGTAAAAAGGGTCCCCGGTATTCTACACTCACCATACGAAACACAGCAGGATTTAGCTGCTATATTACGCTGGTATTCATTCTTCTGTATGTCATTTATTGCTAGTAAAAAGACGTTTCTTCTACGTCTTCAGGCGTGTCTAAGGGCTTTCTTACCAACTAGATGACAGGAGGAACACATCGCTGATCATAGCACAGTTTAAGTTCTCCTTGCGGGACGTTTGATTTCTTCAAAGTACAGAACGCAAGGCACTCCTCTGCCTGGACGTCAATAAGTTGATGAAGTCTCTCAAATTGTGCTGAAGACCTGAGCAATAGAATTGGTATTGGTTCTTACCCGTCTCTTCCGTTACTCCAACTCCGTATAGGCGTTGTCCTGAACTCGTGGACCACAGCTTTAGCGCACTCGATCCCTAAAAGGCATACAAATTATAAAGTAACGTTCAGTTCTGCAGACACTTGAAATGGAATGCTGCATTTGCCTCTAAAAAGCTTGGTGTGCTAAGCAGCTTAGTATTTTTTCTTTGGAATTTTACAAAGCGCAAGTTGGTCATTACATGGACTATCATTCTCTCTCTCTCTCTCTCTCTCTCTCTCTCTCTAGAATACTAATGCCAGCTCGATCCACTTGACTGTATCCAGCAAAGAGCGCCCGAATCGTTGACAACCGAGTTTTGCTAATTAGCATGATACACTGACGTTGTTGAAGAGATGTGGAAGAGATGTTAATAACTTTTTTTAATTCTCCATATTCAGTATTCTAATAGACCTCATAAAACAGAGACCTCCCATTTTGCGGCAAAATCTCGCCGATTCCCTATCTCCCTAGACTAGTATTACAAGTATATTAATGGTGTCTAATTTTTTTCATGACTTGGCTACATAATTAGTATATTATTGCTGTTGAAAATCGGCTGGCCTACCTATTATTCGGAATTCCGGGCTACTACGTCGCGGTCCACCTTTCTCCTACACTATTCCTATAAAATCGTATTAACTGAGCGTAACATAGGGCAGTGGTGCGTACATTTGTTTCCGCAATTATGTTCTAAAGTTTCGAAAGTCTATCTAGAGAGCATTAAAAATAGCACTGTCTTTCTCTTTATCATCATTTATTTCAATTAAATTTAGTCCTAAATATGAGATATACTACTACTATACGGTCTACTCGGACTGGTTTGACATCCATAAAGGTGTCAGACAGGGCTGTGTGGCTTCCCCGTGGCTGTTCAACCTATTTATGGACAGTTGTTTGCAAAATTTGAAAGTTGAAGAATGCGGATTAAGAATGGGTGAGTTAACCGTCAAACGCCTTTTGTACGCCGATGATCAAGTTATTCTTGCGTCGTCGGCGGTCGAGTTGCAAATGATGGTTACATTAATGAACGGATCATTAAAGAAAGGGGTATGAAAGTGAACGCAAGTAAGACGAAGGTTATGGTTTTTGAAAGAGAAGAAAGTAAAACGATTTGTGAAATAAGAATAGAAGGGGAAATGATCGAGCAAGTAGATGAGTTTGTATATTTGGGCTGCGTATTTAGCAGGGATGGGAGATATGATAAGGATATAGAACGACGAGTGAATACGGGAAATAGAGTAAATGGGGCCTTGCACTCTATTGTGAAGAGTCAAAATGTGTCGAAAAAGGCACGTATGGCAATTCACAATGCTGTGTTGGTCCCTACTTTAACATATGGTAGTGAAAGTTGGGTGTGGCAGAAGAAGCACGAGAGTAGAATAAACGCAGTAGAAATGCGGTCGTTAAGGAGTATGTTAGGGCAGAATCGAATGACAGGGTAGGAAATTGTGTAATAAGAGAAGAGTGTGGTTTGCAAGATGATGTTGTGACCAGGATTAATAAAGGAATGCTTTGGTGGTTTGGTCATGTGGAAAGAATGAATGAGAAAAGAGTGACAAAGAAAATTTATGGTGCAGAAGTGAATGGCAGAGTCGGAAAGGGACGTCCTAGGCGAAAATTTATCGACCAAATTGGCGATTTATTGAAAACGGGCCAAATTAGGAGTACCCTTAACCGACGAGCATGTATGCGTAGGTGTATGGATGTGAAGGAGGCAAGAGAGGTGTGTCAGGATCGTGCCAAATGGAAGTCTGTAGTCTCTGCCTACCCCTCTGGGTGACAGGCGTGAGTGTTTATGTTTATGAAATTTCTAGTTTTAGCTGATTATTTTGATGGTTCAAATTTTTGTTTTACTTTTTTTATTCGTAATATCCGCATGACGTGGTAGGGCCACGGTGCAGTTATATTGTGATTGTAGCACGAATAGGTCGGCTCGCTCGGGAAAGGACCACGCTTTTACAGAATACCAACGTAAAGTAGAAGCTTAATGCTGCTGTGTTTCGTATGGTGAGTGTAGAGAACCGGGATTTTTACTGGATACGAGGCATTCATTCTTTTCATCTTAGTCCTCAGAGATGATAACGCATCTACATTTTAATTCTTAATCGAGTAGAAAAATGTAGATAGACATCTATCTCTGGGCCACAGCATCCACTTACCATTAGGTGGACTGTGTGCTCGTTTGTCACCCTTATTCTATAAAAAACATGATGATTTGATACTTGGCTCACTTTACAACTAATTAATATCCGTTTAGTTTATTTTAATTTTCGAATAGTATAAAGGGGGCAGTAACATTGTACTGATTGTACAGACAGAAATACTGTTATATTATCTGGTATTATCACACCAGCTGCATACCAAGGGCTGATACCAAAACGAACATGTGTTTCTTATCTGTAGATTAATTACTCGTACCATAAGGACATACCACTGCGGTATTTTGTATTCATAAAATATTAACATTCACTATTGTCTTTTAATTTTGATTATTTGAATTATTTTAACAGCTATTATTAATACCATTGTTACGAATTGAATAATGGAACCTAAAATATGAATAGAAACTAGGTGGTAGGGCTCCTTATCTGCCCAGGGGTCCGTCATGGTAAGAACCAACCTCTGACCTAATTCTTCTGCCAAGCAGCACTGTCTGCACCGTTGCTTTTCGGTCTGAAGGGTATAGAGTGCCAGTGTTATCATATGTAGCCTTCTTTGATAAAAGTTTTGTTTTGTTACCGTCAGATGGCCTGTAATTGGTTTCTTCCCTTCAATTTTATGAAAATAATAAAATGGTTGCATCCCTTGGGGATGTGGGCAGTGGCCTTGTGAAAGGCAGTTATGATGATGATGATGATAAATTAACTAAGATCAACTATTTAATTTACTTACTTAAACTTAAAATGTAAATAGTATTTTTCCAAATTTCTGAGTTTTAATTTCACCGTTTTAGTTACAAATCTTCGCTTTTGTTACGGCGATACAGTTGTGTAGCATTAATATATAATATAGCCGTCATCTAGGACTATCGCCATTGTTTACCACGGAGCCATATACAGAAGTGCTGTGTATTGTATGTATCGTATCTTTAGGCTAATTATACTATTTCCTCTTTCAGGCATTTCAAATCCAATTTTACCCGTGCTGGTCATAGCATGCGATAGAATCACGGTGAAGCGTTGCCTGGACAACTTAGTCAAGTTCAGACCCAGCAAGGAAATATTCCCTATAATAATAAGTCAAGTAAGTGCAGTAGAATATTGCTGACAACAGCAGTTTACTCCTAGTATTTTTTTTCGTATAATAAGCGTTAAAACGTTCTTTAATTCTTAAACTAGCTGTTCCCGCGACTTGATCCGCGTGGAATTTATTACGATTGGATTTTATGGGTTTTAATTTTTTGGTGTGGAACCCTTATTATTTTTCTAAGATAAAAGTAATCTAAGTTACTCCTTATCACATCAACTACCTGCCACTGCTTTGGTTCCTTTTGAACAACGCTAACACAGTCTACTTGATCGTTCGCCCCGCCATACCTTTACTATTTCAAAACTTTAATAATATTGTACGATTTTATAGGTATTGTTACCTTTTAGTGTTTTAAGTAATTTTGATCAAACATGGCATATATCAACACCGAACGCCTAAGTCGTCTTCGAGAACTTGACGTGTTATACTTCGCGCAATAGTGAATATAAAGTAGTAAATTCCTCTTGAAGTGATCTTTGGGCGACGATTGGGTATACGTCAAAGATGTTTTTAGGTATACCTATAAAACATCTTTGGTATACGTGATATCTAACGTCTTTTGTTCCTTATACGTTTACGAACATAGTAAGCAGATATTAAACAATTCGTAAACGCTTCCATTTCATGTCCATGTTTGTGACTGTACCAGTCCGGCCAGTTTGGTTGATCAGGAGCTCGGGAGAGCACTGAACGTTACAAGCTGACGATCGGTTATGCGTATCGGCAGGAACGATGGTACGCACCGACGACGGTCTAAAACCGGCCTAAATCGCAAGTGCAGTACTTGTGCGACAAAAATCACGCGAGGCCGACTCACTACTTTTTTTCTTCCAAGTCCTTTGGGCTTCTGTCGTTGTATGGAGAATTCGCCTCGATTCCATCGTCACGCTTGGTAGGCGGATTGCCGATCGCAGCACCAGACGTTTCGCTTTTCGCGCTGCTGTACCTTGTCGTATATTGCCATTTATCGGACATATTTCTGTTTCCTGAAGTTCACTTTTATTTCACCCCCAGGACCAAATTGGATGACGTATTCTCCACCACACGGCATCTCCTAACTATTATTAACAACATTTATTTCGTCGATTATATTTCGTGTTTACAGGCATAACCCGTAAAAGTTAAAAGTATGAATTTCCAAATCGATATAACCTTCCGATGATCGAAAATAACTTAAAAGTAAACAACAGTAGATTTAAAGATGATTATTACGAATGACCGGAAACGTTTTTACATGTTTTAAATTTAAAGTATTCATGAATTGCTGTTATTTCCGGATGTTTAAAAAGTGTTCTTAATAACTTGGAAACTGTTTAGGCCCGTTTAACGGTGGACGAAAATGCGATACATATTATTATTTCAGTTGTACTGTGGGCCCGTATGTCATTTGTTATTCATTGTACCTATTGTCTGCCTTGTGTGTAGCGGTAGGTAGGTCACAATGGCGACAGTAAACAATATACAATAAATACTATATTGTTGTTTACGTCTATATATAAAAACACAAATCATTTTAGTGTATGACAAATAATAATTTTACGTTAAACAGTTTTTAAACAAAATTGTATCGGTTAACCCAAATGTTTGTCCGCTGACTGGCCGTTTTTTGACTAATTATTTTTTATATTCCACCTTAAATATTTTAACCCTAGATCAGTAATAACCGCGTCAAAGCGTCGCCACTGCACATATGGCCACAGCCATATGCCTAGCTAACGTGAGTTCATTGTTCAATGTGACGCCGACAGAGTTGAGCCGCGACAAAAATGGGTAAATGTGTAGTGAAAGAATGCTATTCAAAGTCACAAAAACGTAATAAATCAAGCGGCATCACTTTTAACACATAATTTTTAGTTCTTGTTTTCATATAAACGTAAAAAACTTCAAATAATTAAATAAAATTATCTAATATTGCCATTTAGGTTCATTGTTGCCACTTTTCCGCATTTGTGATTATTCTACATTAATGGGAGATTATATAATTAATGGATTATGTTAATTTGTTACCTCTGATTTTAAATATTTTGGAAATTATAATAAAAACTATGTTTTAACTTTCATACAAAATAATTAATTACGAGGGCGGCACTGAAAATTTCGGGAATCAAGGAAGTGACACAACATTACTATTTAAAAATGTATTGTATGCTTTTCGAAGTATTCTCCGCGAAATTTGACACATTTTTCCATACGATGGAACCAATCATTGAAGCAACCATTCGATTCGGAAGTTGGGGTCTCCAATATGGCCGTTTTGTAGGCGTCCACAGCTTCTTCAGGTGATGAAAATCTCCGTTCACGCAATTTATTATTTATTTTAGGGAAAGTATAGAAATCATTAGGGCTTAGATCGGGGCTGTACGGCGGATGGTCTAATAATTCTATGTTTTCTTGCTCTAAAAACTCTTTTGTTCTGTGCGCGGTGTGAGAACTCGCATTGTCGTGATGGAGGATGATGCGGCGGTTGCAGTTCTCTTTACGGAGTTCAGAAACGACCTGTGGCAAACAAATGCTAGCATACCATTCTGCGTTAATCGTTCTTTGTCCCCCAAGAGGAATAGTCGTAACATGGCCGGTTTTGGAGACAAACGAGGCCACCATTTTTTTTGCAACACTCCGTGAAGGAACAATTTTTGTTGGCTTTAACTCATTTACGGGTGTTCGTAACTGGTGACTCGTGACTGGTTTTTTGTTTCGGGTTCGTACGCGTATATCCAGGATTCGTCATCTGATACGATGTTGTATACAGCATTTGAGGATCCTGCGTCTTTCGAGAGTTCTGACGCACCAAGTAACGCGAGCCGCTTTTTGCTCTTCACAGAGCGAATGCGGTGTCCATCGGGAAAACAACTTTTTTACACCTAATTGCAAGATTATTTGTATTTGACTCATGCCAATGTCTAAAGTTGCCTGAATTTCGCGGTATATCACATGTCAATCTTTCTCAATCAGCTTACGAATAACATCAACGTTTTCTTGGGTGACTGCAGTTTTTGGACGACCTTGACGGGGATCATCACTGAGCTTGACACGTCCACGTTGAAAGTCAGCAAACCAGCGATAAATTGTGGTTTTGGATGGGGCTTCATCACCAAATACAGCAATCATCCGCTCAACACACTGTTTTTGTGTTAAACCACTTCGAAAGTCATAATAAATCATCGCTCTTGAATTTTCTCGAGTCAATCACATTTTCTCAACGACTAAACAAGTTTGACAAAACCTTGTGACAAGACCGAGAATCTTTTTTTAAATAAATAAATGGTATTCGATTTTTAAAACCAAGGAATTTTCTACTAAAAAGATTTTAATATGACAGGAACAGTGGAAATATTCCATTCTCGATACTTTTAGTGCAGTCCTCGTATTCTTATTTTAGTTTATTCATGAATTATCTATTAAATATATTTTATTACCTATTTTATATTAATAATTTTATATTATTTATAATTTCATATAAATTTTATATTAATTATATTTTATTAGATTCCTATATTATATTGTTTGATTTATTAGAACCATAAAAATACGTTTTATTTCATCATTCATACTTCTATTCATCTGATAAGCTTTGTATCCCTTTTTTTCTAAGGGGACGTAATAAAGATTTTAAAATAAAATATACTTTTTTAATATAAAAACAATTAACTGCAGCTTAAAAAAACTCATTTTTATTGCGTATTTTAGGTAAAATTTCATATAGTAAGCCACACCAACCCGCTATTGCACGTTTGTGTATTATCTTTATCTAATCTTACGACGACAATATTGTTTTCGCAACTTGTGTAAGTGAGATAGATATATGTTTACTTAAAATTGTTATTAGTTTCAAAGCTACGTCGTCGCGTTTGGATAGTGGTTACACTTTTTTCGACGCGCGGTAATGTGGTTTGCTCCTCTAGTGTTGTATAACTCAATGATTTTATTGATCTTGTCTTGATTATTATTGTACCTACTCAGATATCACGAAGCAACATCTCTTGTCGTGATTTGCGACTTATTTGGGAGACACAGAGTTAACAGAGTTTTCTGACATACCGGCTGACTTTTTACCGTGAGGGAAAAATAGATTTATTTTTAATTTTGTTATTATTTATTAAGCTATTGCATAGCTTCTATCGCGGGCCTTGAGCGCGGGGACCGAATCCAGAAATTTCGTAACGAAAAAAAACCTCACGCTCCCCACTCCGACGGGCACGGAGGTTTGGCGTTGAAAGCCGTGCATCGTCTAACGTCGTTTCAGTTCGGCAGACTTCGGCACGGATTGCGGTGTTTGTGTGCGTGCGACTAGACGTATGCGTGTACACTAGCTGCTAACTCAATGATAAAAATTCCTGAATAACCTACATGTATTGTAAGATATTAAAAATATTTTAAACAATATTAACTTCTCATTTATTCAATAGAGAAAAAAATTGTTTTCTTATCGGTCACCACGCTCAAAAAGTGTAACTTGATTTAATATCAAAGACTTAACTGCATAAATAAAATAAATAAATAATTATAATTGCATAAGTTGATAAAAAATGCTATGCAATAGCTTTACCGCGGCAGTCCAGAGTGCCACACGTATTTTTTTTCTTTAAAAATATAGAAAACGATTAAAAATAACGATATAATTTATATAATGAGCCGGGTGCACAGGATGTGTACCTAGCTACTTTACGTTTGGCTAGAATTAATGAAATCGTAATGACTTCGACCTTGAACCAGCCGCCAGATAAAAAGTTTACTTCATAATATCATATTTCATTCATAATATAAAGACATGAGATGCGACTTAATATGAATATTGTTATCTATCATTTGGTTACTTTTGTTAGATATTTGTATACGTATATATGCGTTATATTTATTTTTTCCACAACAAAAATCTCATTCCTAAATCACTACAACAGGACCACAATATTTTTTAACCGACTTCTAAAAAAGGAGGAGGTTATCAATTCGACTGTATTTTTTATGTATTACCTCAGAACTTTTTTGCAGGCGAA